TATATATAAAATTATACTCTTTGGGAGTTACAAATATGTATTTAAAAGAGAAAAAGAACAAAACATTTCAAAGACTATTTTATTTGTCTAGAGGCAGTGGTTGGTCCCTTCTTTAAGAAAAATGAATTTTTGAAGATTTTAATATCTACTTCGCTCTGATCGATTTCGACAATGTAGTTGCCCCATACGGCAAAATCGAAATTCAGATCATTAATCAGGTAACTCAAAATAGAAGAAAGCAGTATTACAAACATCCAAAAGGTCTGTATGATTTTGATGTTCTCTTTTCCTTTGAATATGAATTTGCAGCCGCCACACTGAATATTTTTTTAACTTCTTTTTTGACAAAAATGCGATAAATCAAGCGCTGTAAATTCAGTAAACTCGATATGTGCGTGAAATAAGTTTTTAAGTTTGAAACAATTTAATACTAATTTATCACTTCAATGCAGAATTTCTATTTAAATAGTTAAAAATCTCTTCAAACAATATGAAGTTTCTTTCAATATCTAATTCTTGTTATATAAACCGTACATTACTAAATGTAAGCCAATCCGTATATACAACAAGAGTATATTTTCTTTTATGAAAATTTACTCAAAATTTAAGACTAATATATAAATTAACATTAAAAAAAAGAACTATTTTTGGAGGTGTAACTTTTATTTTCCCCTTTTGACTACCTTTAACAAAACTCAATATAAAGAGTAAACAAAACATAATATTAAGAGTTTTATTTCGCACAAAGAATTTTATCATTAAAACTACTTAAAAAGTGCCAAATGTGAAAATATAATTCTGTAACTAAACATGATAACATATAATTCTGTAGCTATAGATTTTTCAGAAAACCTTCAACGTAGAAGTAAGAGCTCTGAAAAATCGTCGCAAACAATTTCATATAGATAATAAAAATACAATATGTAAAAGAATTTACCTTGAGATATATCAAAACGAAACAAATAAATTTGAAGCATGACATTGCCATAAAAATGGCATTTTTTCGATAAACGTGACGCAACAAGAAATGTAAATTTAAAAGAAAAATGACTCTTAAGAAACTGATAAAATCACTAAGTGTTATAATTTCTTTGAGAAATGATGAATCATGATCTAAAATATTTTACGTTTAAATCTGTTTGCACAACGAAATTTCTTTCTTTTAACTGAATTCGAAATTTGTTAATCACTAGAAGCAAGAATTAGAGCATTAAAATGAAGGTATGTTGTTTATATTCAAGTTTTTTTAATGATTAAAATATTCAATAATGATGTAATTTAAAACTTAAATTGTAATTCATGTACTTTGGCATTTAAGACAATGGTGAATGCAAAAACAACAATATGGCAGAAGCAAAATAAGTTCACAGCTATAAAATAATTTATTTATAAAGAGTGAAAATTTCGTTTTACCGTATAGTAATAATTCAATTTCGTCAATTTCATTTTTAGGTGAGTTTGGGAAATTTTAATCTATTGTGAAGTTCTTAATCTGTTCAATTTAAGAAGACTCTGACAAATGTTATTTAGGTTTCGTGTGCTATGGTGCAGAAAATATTGTGCTACCTCCTAATTATGGATGAAAAACTAATTTACAAAAGTGGCAAAACCAGCAATTATATGAAAATCGTTGTTAAATTTAGAGCTGTTTAACAAAATCATTCATTAACAGACTTTTATACATTAACTCAGTCTTCGATCTAAACTTGAACTCCGGTTCGAATTCGAGTCAACTGAGCTCTTCTAGCTATGCTGGTTGCAAAATGAAGATAACGAAATAATCAAATTTTAATAATAAATGTTTTTTCCTTAAATTTTTTTATCATCAGTTCGAAAGTTTCAAAAATAAAATACAGTCGGACTTCTATTTAACGAACTTTCATTTTGCGAATTTTTTCGAGGAACCAAGAACATTTTGGAAATTTATTCGGAAAATAACTTCCAAATAGCAAAGTAAATTTTCTATTTAACGAACTTTTATAAAAAAAAAAAAAAGAGAGATCCACTCTCTTTATTTCCCAAATTATTTCAGAACATTTTAAACTTGTTAACGCATTTCATGAGGGAAAAGGCCTTGAATTGATTTTCGTAACCATTTAACTGACAAAATGAACTGATTTTACCAATAGCAATTAAACTTAAGAACGCATGTGGTAATGTACGCTTAAAATTACTGTTACAATAAATGCAGCTATAATTTTATGCATAAATTTAGCTTTTTTTTAGTTGAAAATGTGATTAGCATGATAGTGTAAAACTGGATAATGTTTTGCGCTCTATTCTTACTATCCATGCAGATTTTTTTATGGTTAAGATTTATAAAATGGATAGTAGATACTAGTTCACAAGATGAGTGGCGCAATTGGTTTGTCGTCGGCCATCTGAGCCCAAGTCTGCGGGTTCGATCCCCGGCCCAGGCGCTGGATTTTCGGGATGCAGAAAATCCTCAGCGATGTCGTATGATTATGCGGCATGTAAAAGATCCCTGGAGTGCCTTATTGGCTCTTGGCATTTCCGTCAAAATTAAATTCCTAGTGCACTGTCGCATCCAAATAGAGTCTCGGTGCTGCCATCTAGTGTGGCAGAATCTAGACGTACGAATTAACATGGCCAATGGTATCGCACCCATTGTGGTGGTCCTGAAAGAGTGGATACAACTTCTGGAGAACGCACTAGGTATGCTCATTGGGAAGACTGATTGTGCAGCTCATAGGAAATAAAAAAAAGTTCACAAGATGAAGGTGTATCAATTGATATTTTAATTATGCCCAGTGTTCACGAAATTAAAAGCTGTCTTGCGCCGTTTAAGTATTTCAAAAGGAGATTTTCTATTTATCGAATTTTCCATATATATAACAAACTTATTATCGGGATTCAGCGACTTCGTTAAATAGTAGTCCGACTGTATATTTAGACCAAACTGAATTATTTCAAAGAAACATCCTAGAAATGCTTGTTATCAATATAACATCTTAAAAACTGTTTTGAGATTAAATAGAATTTACGATGCATTTGTTTATGAAACAAAAATTACTGATACTTTTACGTGAGATTAAAAATGTTTTTTAAATATACATAAAACAGGACATTCTCCGATGCGTCTGCATCATTACTAACACTATTTTACTTTCAACAGATATTTTCAGCTAAATGTGTTTTCATCACGACCATTCTTTGCAATTTTTACCTTCTGGTTGCTTCCCAGACAACTTCACCCGAAACACCACAAGTACCAACAATGGATGAATCAATGCGTCTAACTATAAATAAATCTATGGAATTCTTTGGCGATATTGTGAAATTAATTCAAGATGGACTTAAAATTAAGCATGATATGGAGAACTGAAAATTTTATAACTTCGTGATGGAAAAAGGAGTTTATTTGTAATGATGCGACTTTAATTAACAGCGCAAGAAAAATGTTCCCATAACTTAAATAGCGTGAGAAATAAAAACTGGTTCATAAAAAAAAAAATGTTTGAACTGATAGAAATAAATGAATTTTTTTGTAAAACTGATTTATATTAAGTTACTGATATTTGAGATTATTATCAAGTCCAAATGTATTTCGTATTGATTACATTTAAAAAGTGATTAAACGTTGCTTTATATATTCTATTGCCTTTCTTTGAATTAATGAAGTGTTTTGTTTTCCTTTTATGCATGACAGGTCTAAATTGTAGGGGGAGTTAATCGGAGGGACTTAGACCAAAGGGAATAAAATATACAGAAATAATATATATATATATATTGTCGTATGCCTGTTTTTCGGCAGTGGGGGAGCGATTGTTCCTGTTTTCCAGTGGCGCCATCTATGGCCAGGAATTCGACTTCTGTCACGCCATTCACACAACCACAACCTGTTTATAGGGCGGATCACATTCACACACAAAGGAGAAAGGACATAGAACACACAGAGAGAGAAAGAAACATTCTTGCCTTGCACGGGATTCGAACCCAGGACCTTCTCATGCAAGGACAGTTCCCTGCACCCTACACAAAAAATTTATTTTTATGCTTCCATTTCATCGTTGACAGGAATATCTGCCAAAATCATTGATTTAGTACGCTAGATAAAACCTTTAATTTTCATTAGGCTTTTAATATTATGTTAATAATAATGCGACTGCTAAATTTAGTAATAATAATAAAATTCTGTCCAGCTTTTACACTCTCAAGAATGTGCTCACAATATGAGATCTTACAATAAATACAACACTTTACAATAACACTTACACTTTACAATAAATAAGGGAAAAAAATGTTTTTAGATGTCTAAAGATGCAAATCAGTAACCACATTTTATTCTTCCTAGATATCAATTACTGGATGTATTTTTATCTTGGCAATTTTCTGCAGTGCCCAGCTATTAACGGATGCACAAGACACCAGTACAGTACTTACAGTATGTGAATCGGTGAGCAAAACCTTCCATAAAGTGCTCGATTTCTTTGGTGATGTAAGAACATTGTTTTCAGATGGGCTAAAAATTAGAAAAGATCTTCTAGAGTAAATTCTTGTAAACAAACTTTACCTTGTAAAGGAAAGCAGATAATCTGCATATGGCAACCACAATTTTACGAAAAAAAATTGAAAAATTTGATTGTATAATCTAACATTTGAATTGCATGGAATATAAATTCGTTATTAAACAGCTCTAACTCTTTTTGTGGAAGTTTTATTAATATTCCTATTTTTTTTTTTCTTGATGAATCTCATTTTGCTATAAATAACACTGCCAGGTATTGAGACAAATAATTTCAAAAATGAATGGAGAGATTGGCGATCGAAATGGGCTGCAGGTGGCGTAGAGCAGAACTCTTTTCCTACGGCAACACTTCACATGCTTTCCCCATTAGCGTGTGGAAAGTCATAGAGGAAGGAAGTACGTTAGTTTCTCTCTTGATTTTCATATAGATTAAAATCTTTTAACTTGAAAAACTATATGGAACTGAAAACTACATTAAACATAGTTCTAAAGAAAAGTATCATGAAAATTTTTAAAAATATTTTTATTAAATAAAAAGGAAAAATATTAAGAAAGGGGAAAATATCGTAGTACATTCCTATACAACTGAAAAGAGGAGGAGAGGGAAGGGAGAAGGGCTAAAAGCATGAAACCGGTCTCTCCCCAGATGGCGTATTCGAGTGTTGCGATCGCGAATAAAAAATAAATAATGAATTTGATTGCAATTGCCAGCAGAAATTGTCTATACTCGCACAGTATCTTTCATATTTCAAAAATGTTAAAACTTTTTTCATGCTCTTAAGAAAACAACCGTATATTTATTTTTAAACTATATCTTAAACTATAGGTATTATAATTACATTAAAACATAAAACAAACCTCACAGTGAAATTAAAGGAGTTTTAAAGAAAACATACCTATAATTGCTAGTTTATACACTAAGCGACCACATTTTTTGTGTCCATCTGTTCCATAAATGAGATATCAAACCATAATGCATTGGACCACTAGAGGGCTAATGTAGTGCTGACATACTTTAAGACCTTCATTTCCTATTCAAGGCCTCATTAAATAAATATTATTATTGATCAAGTGTATCCTGTAAAGCTGATAACTCATTTCAAGGGTAAGGAGTATTTTCAATAAGATAATGCTTCTTGCCATATTGCTCCTATTGTAAAGAATCAATTCAAAGAGCATGATGGATATTTTAGTTTTTCTCTGCTGCCCATAATTCTCAGACCTCAATCCAAGCAATCATTTATGGGTTAAAGTTGGAATAGCCATCCATCATCATGACATGCAATTATGTAGTCTCTAACTATCAAGAAGCACAATGAATGTACCACATGTGACTTTTCTCCATAAAGGACAAGGTAAGAAGAATTAAGTTGGTATTTTTTTTTAATTTTAAGAAAAGGTTGTAAGGAGAAGAGGTGGTCATACTATAGTGCTGCTTTCAGGAGAACTCCAGACATCAATCTCGCCGTTGGTGGATGCCATGGTTGGGTGTGAGGTCAATAGTTTTGTTTTGATCTTTGCACAGGTCAGCGAGAGAAAACCAATCGACACCTTCATTCCTCCATTAGAAATGTGCTCTCACTTATTACCATAGTAGCAGAAAGCCCATACTTCTAGTCTGGAGGAGTTCTCTTCAATGCTGCACAATAAAAAGGTTATCAATGTACAAATTTGTTGGTCAACTTGTCTAGCTCCTTACTTGAAAGAACCACATATAGATTAATATAGGCTTGATGAAAATAATAAGTACCTACAAGGAGTTTTTATAACTTAATGGTTAGTCGAACGAAACAAATAAAAATAAGAGACATAATAACAAATATTAAAAAAAGTTGTAATTTTGAGAGAATGTGATTATAATTCTTAAAAGAGAAAAGAGAAATTTAATCAAATAAGTTTATTAAATTTAAAATTTGGCACAACATATTTTTCATAAAGAGTAAATTTCTAACAGTTTATTAAAAAGGTAATCAAAAAATAATTATACAAAAATAAGTTGGCACAGTACAGTTTTTATAAAGAGTAAGTTTTTATCAGTTGATCAAGAAGATAGCTAAAAATAATTTTATAAAAATAGGTTGGCACAGTGTATTTTTTATAAATTTCTAACTTCTTTCAGTTCTTTTTTAGAGTAAATTTCTTTCAGTTTATTAAAAAGGTAATCTAAAAACAACTATACAAAAATAAGTTGGCACAGTACATTTCTTATAGAGTAAATTTTTATCAGTTGATCAAATAGGTAATCTAAAAGAAATTAAACAAAACTTGGTACAGTATATTTTTTTATAAAGAGTAAATTTCTTTAAGTTTATCAAGAAGATTATTACCTAAAAACAATTCTTCAAAAGTAACTTGGCATAGCATATTTTTTTATTAAGATTAAATTTCTATCAGTTGATCAAATTGGTAACCTAAAAACAATTATACAAAAATAAGTTATGTTTAAAATATACAGAATTTCTGTACAAGTAATTAAAATATTTTCAGTTAAAATTTACAAAATCAACAAGTAAACCATTTATTTATTGTAAAAGAGCTAATCAAAAATTTGACAATTGAAAACTCGGGCATTGAAAATTATCACAGCATGATTTCATATCATGATATTCCGTCACAACATTGAATATCCAACTTACCTAGATTTTTTAAAGTTTCAAGTTCATAACTTATTTGTCTAATTTTAAATACAAACAAAATATTCCAATATAACACAGATTTTAAAATTTCATGAGGCGAAGTGTGAGGGAGCACACTTTCTGTTTCTAGAAGTCTGTTTCCATATTTTTTAAAAATAAAAAAATGTGTCCCCTCATACGCTATGCCTACATAAACATAATACACAAAATTAATAGCTGGAAGAAATATAAATCTAAAATTTGCTCAACACATCTATTAATCATGCATTAAATGTAAAAACACTAATTAAATGATTAAAATAAAATTTAATGTAAGAATTTAATAAAAGAAATATAATAAGGTAATAGCACTATTGTAGTACTTATTTTAAAGTAAATCAGTCACAAAAATAATACTTTAGCAACAACTATGTAGCAAGGATACAATTTAAGATCTATGAAGAATGTAAAATATGTACCAATGATGATTTCAATAAGGAAGTAAGCATAAACAAATGCCAATCAACACACCTAAAAAAGTTCGAGTTTGAAAGCTTATTGCTGCTTATCCTATGAGGCGATATTTTCAACACTTATTTTTTTTCTTTACCGAAACATGACAGTAAATAAGAATATGAACTTAAAGTTTTAGAATTGATAAGTTTTACAATATAAGGGGGTGAACAACCTTTTAGAGTGAAGGGCCACTCACACAGCAGGTAGATTAAGGAAGGCCTCACGCATATTTAGTCATGTTAAAGGCAAAAATGATTATTTTTATATAAACATTAGTTTTCTAAGCACTAATTTATTTTTATCAATAAACTTAAGAACACATTTGCAGAAAATTAAATGCTTATAACTATTTGTATTTATTTTAAAATAAAAAAAACTGATATTTTTTTAAGAAACACTATTAAAGAAAATCTATAATGTTTAAACAAAAACAAAAATTAAAACAAATCCATTATATAAAAAATATAATTCAATATTTATTTAGTATTATTTTTCAGATATTATTTCTATTTCTTGAATTATTAGAGGTTTTGAGAATTTAAAAAATTAAATGTTTTCCTTTTAGTTTTTTCCTAAAAAATTCACCTAAGATGAAAAAAATTTAAAATAAAATAAATGACAAACAGAAAGCAGTTTAAAAACTCCTGTTTTCCTCAAGTTATCGAATTCTGCATGGTGCAATAACAAGTATCGGGATTCAAAATACCATGTACAAATTCATGGTGCCAACTACTGAAAAGAAGGAAAAATAACTTATATTTACGATGAAAAATGAAAATTTCATCAAATAGTGATTACTTAAATTCGTAATTAGAAATTTGTGTGTCGTATTAACATTGTAGTTAAAGTAAAGGGATCATATAAATCAAGGAGAAGAGCATTGCCATAATTGTACTAACAAAAAAATTAATAAATTTACGATGAAATTAGCACGAGTAACGTGCGCCAATAAGTCATTATTCAAATGTCAGATTTAAAATAAGCATATCATAATAAAAACCAAAATTTTTAAAACTATGTGAGAATGCATTAAAGAAACTGGTAAAAAACGATTGAAAAACAACTTGGATTTACAATGCAATCGGCACAAATTAAGTACTGCAAAAAGCGATAAATAGAATGTGCGATTTATAACTCACGAATCATAATATCGTAATAAATGTGTTGGGAATTTATAAAACAAATAGAAATCAGTAGTTATAAATGCCAAAAACAATCTAAACATCACTTGGATTCATGATGAAATTAGAAAAACTGAGCACGTCAAAAAAGGATTCTTTAAATAGGGGATTCGAAATTTGCATGTCGTAATAAAAATACGGAATTTTCAAAATCACGAGGAAAAACATACTTCCTTTAAAAATAGATTAAATTAGCACAAATGAAGTATGTTAAAAACTGATCTTTTAGATGTGATACATACCTCGCAATTCGTAAGAAATGTATCAGGAATTTATAAGCCATGTAGTAATTAGCAAGTTTGGTAAGGTTTAGGACAGAATGGATTAATCCACGGTTTAAACCGTCCTGTCCAAAACCCCTTTTCTCAAATTATGTCACAATTTTATCTGAACAATATCTAAGAGGTGAAATAAACATAGAACTAATAACATATTGATAATTAAATATACTAGAGAATATTTGTTTTTAAAAGTATAATGTTTTATTAATATTGTTTGACTCTTCAATATAAACAAAGGAAGATTAATCAGTAATCAAGTTCAATTGGTCCTCTCATTCAATAGTACATAACTGAAGTTTGGCCTTGTCATACAGGTTAAAATATTAGGGACTAAGTGCTTGGTTCGTCATAAACAGATCTATTTATCTATAGTACTATTCAAGAATACTTTTATTTCATTCATGTTCAATTCGTTTAGCATAGTGGTGATACATCACCAGTGTCAGTAATTGAAACTGATGTTATGCCCCTCAAAACTGTTAATACATTTTTCAGTTATTTTGTATTTTCCATTTAAACTAATATATTTATATTTAAAAACAATTTTTTTTAAAAATGAATGTCTTTTTTATCATCCTGTAATGCAGAAATTATAAAATTTTTTTAAAAAAATATTGTGAAAAATTAAAGGTTAATTTTTGAACAAATTTAGAATTTTTTTTTAAGAAAAATTATTATTTTTCAATATTGCCATATCTTTCCTTATGCAAAAATATTATTTATCAATATTAAAAGCATATTTATATTTAAAGGATTAGGTATTCACTTTTGTTGTTCAATGAATTGTGGAGCTTCAAAAATTATAAACCTTTTCCTATTATATTATATTATTTTCTTTTAATAAGTTATAGTAAATTGTATAAAAAATATGAGATATTTATTGATGCATGTAATTATTATGTGTACAATGGTTACACCTATAGAATTTTTACCTTTTACCAAAGTTCAAGGTTTTGGACACTTTAAGACAGTAAAACCCACGTGCCCTGTCCAAAACCAGTTTAGGACGTCCGAAACCCCAACCCTGGAAATTAGTAGCTAGAAATGCCGAAAAACAATCTAAGCGTCGCTTGGATTTATGATGCATAATAAATGTATCGGAATGACATAATAATTGGTAATTATAAATGTCAAAAAACGATCAAAACATCACTTGGATTTATTATGAACTGCTGTGTTATTGCAACAAAGCGAGACAATTCTTATGTCCGGCATGTGTTCAAAATAATGAAAGTTTATTTATAGTAAAATATATATATATTTGTTTCACGGCCTAACAATCAAATTAATAATCTCGATATCACTAAATGAATATGAGAATTCTAGCATAACTTAAAATAGAAATGCTTGCTAAAACAATAGCTTGACAACAGTTAACAAGTGAACACACGCTACCCCGAACAGCGAATAAATAGACCAGATAAAATAACCTGGAAATTTTGCTAAAGGAAAGATCACGTAGCTCTCGACTGTAGAAAACACCATACATATATAAAATATTTAAAAAAAAAAGAAAACTTAATTTTGACAAAATAAATACGACTGCTTTCAGCACTTCTAGATAAACTGAAAAATATTTATGCTGCAATATTTTTTTTGTCAAATTATAACTTCTACAACTAAAAAAAAAAATCTCATTTCAGAAAAATATGTTTTTGTAAAGATAACAACAATCATAACTGTGGAAGCTAAGGGTTCATTCAACAAGAATTGCGACAAAAACTTATACAATTTAGAAACCTTGACAAATCAAATCCAAATAAAAAAAAAACATGCAATTGCACGATACCTTTTCAAATGATTCATTAAATTACTATATTTTATGATAACAATAAATAAATAATTACACATAATCAACAACTATAATAACAAAATTTAAACCATAACAGATAATAAACATTATCAAATTGAAAAACTCATTTGCATCATAAAAAAAAATGAGAATTAAAATTATTAGATTGCAATAATAACTTATAAAATTTGCTCAAAATATTCACATTGACTAAAATATATATGGTCGGACTGCTAGTATACTCTGACAATTTAGCAATTAACTTCTTTTTCATTAAAAAACTAGTTAGCTACTTTCCAAGTAGATAGCATTACTATATTTTGTTGCAAGTTAAGAAAAAATCATTAGTGTTATATATAGACCGTGTTTGCGCCAAAGTGCACGTCAAATGGATGCCAAGCTCCCACCACAAATGTATATCAACACTGCCAATAACATTACTGTTGCATAGTCTTCTTTTTGCTTGCTTTCTTAAATCGTATGAAATGAGAAAAACAAAAATTATTGATTAAAAACTATTGTTTTGTTTCTCGTTAAGTGAGAGAGTTGCATCACACTTCAATTCTACTTTCTGTATGAATTTAAAGAAACGGATGAAAGAATAAATATTGCTTCTTGCATATGATTTTCTTCCACAGCGATATTAAGGTAAAATTCTCTATCTGGCATTTGATGAATTGAGGTTATGTCAGTATAAGTGGCACAATTTTTAGTGATTCCATCAAATCTAATGCCTTTGCTACATTATATAGTTGTTTCTTTTTCAAGGACAAATATTTTCCTTATTTATCGAAATGTGTCACTAACTCTAGGATTCCTGTAAGACTACGAAACTATAAAATTATTTTACTAATTCTATGACATATATCGTAAAAGAGAACACGAATAAAATTTTTGTCTGACACATTTAACTTTTAAAAGCTTTTTTATTATTATGAAAGCATATTTGTATAATTTGATAACAGAATAAAAGAGAACTGTATGCAGTCCCGAATGATTAATTAAATTCTATATAGCAATGGATTCTTCTTAACTTCCAACAGAGTATAAAAATTATCAAATAAATTTCATTGCTTACTAACAGAGATATTTCATAACTTAGTATTGCTAGCACTTTTTTTAAAATGCCAGTAAGCATCCAAAACATTGATCTCTAGAGGGCAGCCGGAATTCTAATTCAGTTACTTCAAGTCGCCTCTTTGTAACGACTATTTACCCTTTAATTCCCTATAACACAGAGTAAACATTTGCAAGCAAGTCGTTCTGTATCAGCAATCAAGTGAACCTCAATAGAAATTATAACTCACACATAAATAATATGAAATCTCTGAACAAACAGTTCCAAGGAATTTTATATTTGGAGAACCGGCAAATATTTAAAGTATAATTGGCTATTATTGTTGCTGTTTAACAGAATTAAAATTAAGTATGGTGAAAATCTTACATTTTGTTCAATGCATGCTTAATCATTTTATAAATTTAAATGTTGTTTACAATGCAATGTAAGAGATGCCTTATGAGAATACCGTTTATTGCATACATCACATAAATAAGGTTTTTCATTTGTATGAGTAGTAAAATGACATTGTAAAGTTTTCTGGGAAGAAAATTTTTTACTACAAGCGTTACACTGAAAAGGCTTGTAATTCATATGCACAACACGGAAATGTTTATCTCTGTTTCTTTTCAGCGAAAAACTATTCCCACAAGCTTCACAGTCGTACGGTCTTTCTTTGGTGTGTAGACGATAATGTTGCCTTAATGAACCAATCCTAGGAAAGCGCTTGCAACAAATTTCACATTGGTGAGGCTTTTCCTTAGTGTGCGTCAAAATATGGCTTTTCAAGCCTTGGTTACGAGAAAATCTCTTTGCACAGATGTTGCACTCATAAGCTTTTTCATTGGTATGAGTGCGATAATGTCTATCTCGGCTTCTTTGGAAAGGAAACCTTCTACCACACACATTGCATTCATAAGGTTTATCATTTGTGTGAGTGCGATAATGTCTATCACAATTTTGCTTATTGGAAAACTTTTTGTTGCAAAAATTGCACTGAAAATGCTTTTCACAGAGTTCATCACTGCTGTGGTTAGATGGTAAATCTTGCTCTGAACAGTCACTGCAAATTGCTGTAGTGAATTCAGGATTAGGAGCAGAACAAACAATGTCATTTTTTACAGACAAAACAGTGGTTGTTAATTTATTGTTATTAATAAGATTGTTTTTATTCGAGACAGAATGATTTGGTTGACTTGTATTTAATGCTGAATCAATAAATAAGTCCTGGTCGATTTGGTAAACATCATCAATGCTATTGTCGCATGCATTAAATATGCTAGTATTGTGACATAGATTTTCATTAGATGCTATTGTTTCAGGGTTTTTATAGTTACTGTCTTGCATACTACGGGTATCCGTACTTTCACACTGTTTTATAGAGGTTATTGACGCATTCAAACTTACATCAATAGGAATTGATAATTTATTTTGTTCATCCACAGCTGCTTGTTTCATGATCGATATTCTAGAACTTAGAAATAAATTCATTTGCATTTAACGTAAATTACAATTTTATAATACGATGCTGGATCTACATAAACGAAAAAGTAGCAAAGTCTATTCTATCAAAGACGTCACAGTAATGATTACATAACACTCAAGATCATAGTTTATTTCATTCCAGAGATAATTTTGAACTTTTCTGCCAATGGTAAAGTGGATTACGCGCAACAAACAACGCGCACAATAAAGTTTAAACTGTTGGCGTTCGGAAATAATTATAAAGTTGTATTGCATACATTGAACCAGATCAAACTAAAAAAATTCAAAGATTTCGTAAATTCCAGCAGTTGTTTGCAAAACTGATAGCTTGTGTTTTAATCATGCTTGCGTCAAGCTTGTTTTTTCTTAACTATAGAAATAAAGTATGTTACAACGTTCATGGTTTCACACAGAAATTTATAATAGGTTCGAGTAAATATTGTTCAATTCTTGAAAAGGAAAATGACTTCAAAACGAAATTTAATGGTTAAAACTTAACTCTGAAGAATTTACAGAATTTTTGGATGACTTATTTTGTTATTCGAAAGACAAATAAGCAGCGCACGCACTTACTCTCACGCGTGTGCGTAATCGAAAGATAACACTGCTGCTCAGTGTCAAATTATTTCTCACTTATTTAGCCATTAGCCCTCAATAGTGTCAGGAAACCAGGAAAATCTCACTATCTATGATCTTGAACATTATAATGGTGAATAACATATATGGTGGTAGTAATACGAAACCCTTATGATAAATTAATGTTTCTGTATTTTATGTTCCACCTGTTGCATTGTGCAGCTATACTATCCACCTGTTGCAAAAACTTTTTATTTAAATTCATTATGATTAAATATATTAATTCTAGTTTCATTGAATTGTTAATTTATAATAACCGCAGTTATTTCGTAATCATAGCACTTAATATCTATGTTTAGAATCCTTTTAAAACTATAAATATGACACACATTTAGGAATCGCAAATTAACACTTAATTAGGGATAAAGCAAAAACGCTATCGAACTCAGATAAATTACTATTGAGGAAAGTGAATGAAAAAGAAAAACGAATGCTGATTGGTTAAGAAAGTTTAAAGAAATTTCTTCGATATATACAACTTTATTCACTAAATAATTCCAGGAGTAAAAAATCAAACAAGTTTTTTATTTTTAAATATTGATTTTCTAAAAATTCGTTTTTAGAGTTTTTTGCGTGTTTAAATATTTATTTGCGACTCCATAGGAAATGATATTTCTACTTTATGTTTGACAATTATATAAATAAAACAGATAATTAATAGATTAATAAAACAGATAACAGGGCAGTCATTAAAAAAGCCTTTATAATTCTAATGACGAAAATTGCGAATGCCCTCGAGGAAAAGTTAAGTATTACAGATAGAAATTAATTTTTAAATTATTCCAAGTTGTTTCAAATGTTCTTAAAATAATTATAAGATGAAAACTAAGATTTTTTTAAAAATAAAGCAATCATTAAAACTTTTTAGTGTCAACAAAAATAAATCTTAAATATTGAGCTAGAGCACAGGCGTGTTCGATAACGTCGTACTATGTTAAATATTTTGCGGCTGTATAACTTTTTTTCTTTTACAATGGTCATTTTTTTCAAACGATGATAACGAATAATTAAATGCTATGAAATATTGGAAATCTTTTTATAATTCTACTGACAAAGTTTTGCGATATATGTGTATATATTTAAAAGTTTATTGTCACGTTGATATTTACTAAAATAAGGATTTAAGGATTGATATTTCTTTAATTCAGTTTCATTGAGATTTCATGTATTTCTATTGATTTCTTTTTCTTTCTTCACCATTTCAGAAAAAAGAAAAGAAAAAAAATGTCATTATGGGGCAATATTTTGTTCAGATGATAACAGACAAAACGAATTTTTTTAATACAAGTGCATGAACTCAAATTTATTAATCAGAAAAATCAAAAGTTTTAGTTCTTTTTTTTCTTCTTAAATTTATTTTCAGTTTAAATACTTATTTATGAAAGATGATTTTGCAAACTTTGAAAAGAAGATAAATGTTTATTGTTGTATCATGCCACACACTGTAATTCCATACATTGCATCTATAGGATAATCTTTGAACAAATGAGAAAGAAATGTTATTCTTTATTTTGCAATTAATCTATTTATAAGTTGTTTCATAAGTTCCATACTTTTTGGTGGAAGTTTAATATTTCTATTTCATGAACTAAGGTAATGTATAAAGTATTTATAACTTTTACTTACTCTTCATAATTTCCATTTTTTTAGTTTCTGATAATCATAAGATGATTAAACTTTTAAGCATTCAATATTTTTTATTATTCAGAAATTATGTAATCGAAAGTTTAAAATGTTGTATCAATGATTTATAATTTTCTGTTTTTTTTTTATTTTATTACGACAGTATTTAACTTTTTAAAGCATTCGAACATTGTGTTATTCCAGAAGAAAGAAATTTTTGCTTTGTGTAATTTTATCGTAAAGTAAATTAGTTGTAACTTACAAAATCTTTTTAATAATGCATATTTAAGATATTTATAATTTTTACTTATTCTTCGTAATTTTTTTAGATTTTGACAATTATAAGATGACTAAAGTTTTAAGTATTCATTATTTTTTATTGTTCAAAAATTATATAATTAAAAGTTCAAGATATTGTTTCAATGATGATGTATAATTTTCTGTTTTTTTATTACGACAGTATTTATTTTTTTAAAGCATTCGAACATTATTATGCTATTCAGAAAAGAAAAAAAAATTGTTTTGTGTAATTTTATCACAAAGAAAATTAGTTGTAACTTACAAAATTTTCTTAGGAATGTTGCTGCAATGCAGTTGTTACAGACATTTCTATTACAATCTTAAATGATTTCTAGGCTTATTTTTTCGAAGAGGTTTTTATTTTGTAGGATACTTGCATTAATGTATATATGAACAACTAAAAAATTAAGTGATAGGTATTAAAAAGTATATATTTTTATTAACTAATAATTTTGTTATTGCCTGTAAATGGACACAAGTATAGGGATATTTTTCTTCTATATTTTAGTTTTAAGGTAATAGAGTAACAGAATTTTCTTAAAAACCTGATCCACATACACAAATTAAGGTTGTTTTTCGAAGGTTCTGTTGTCTCATGAAACCATACATTTTTGCAAATAATGTGCTGTTGTGAGTTTTTAGCAGTTACTCAAGGCTGTTATGTCAAGTTTAGCCAGTCCTTATTTAGAGCCCCAATGCTTATTCTAAAAAATTGTGTAAAACATCAATATGGAGAAAAGCCACAGTTTTGAGAAAATGAAAAACGTTTGTGGTTTAAATTTTTAATATTTAAAATCTTACTCCAATGCTGAGGTTATCTTGGTTTATAAAAATTTGCAAAAAACAGGAATGAGTCATAGATTTTGATAATTTTCTTCTTGGTGGAAAAATGTTACCAAATTGGCTATTTTTTTAAATATTTTTAAGTTATTTAAGTTATTTGCCCTAAGCCCAGATAATTCTTCACGGTAAGATGGCATATAGTGTAAAATTATGACTTAGCTTCAAATGTAAGGCACTTAAAATGAGTTTTGTTTAAATTTTTTTAATTTATTTCCCTTGGTGAAAAACCTTCAAAAAACCATGTTAAAACCTTAATGAATGAACTCTATGCATTGGGAAAAATTTCCCAACATCTTTAGTATTGCATCTTTAATAGTGGCCAATTTTCAAAACATCTTGTCGCTTTTTCAAAAAACTGAAAATTTTAAATGACTAAAAGAAATCAATATAAATAATTAATGTGAGGCATTTTTAATAAAGCATTTCTCAGAATAAGGTAAACTTTACATGCCTCTTTTCTAAACGGAAGAGACATTTTTGAAAACCAAGCATAAAATAAAGTAATTTTCAGATTATTATAATATATTTATTAAAATTAGCGAGATGTATATGGGTTGCAGTTTTAACGGAAAAGAGGTGCTCTTGTTGCAACTATGGCAGATTTTTTTAATCCCCTTTGTTATGTTTAATCGCCCTGTGGCAACACCTCCTAGAAAAGAAAAGACTAACGGCACGGATCAATTTAGCTGTCTGACGTAATGAACATAAACTGCACAGTGAAGGAAAAATAAGAAATGCGTCACTACATTCGGGCTACTAAGCTACGCAGTGGGGGAAATACGAAATATATCATTAAGTTTGGAATGTTAAAGGATCAAATTTCTTGCTTATGGTAGCCTGTATCGAGGCCTTCTTCACCTGACTTGTAATTCTGTTGAAGTTTGAATAAAGAACAGCCTTTCCCAAGTAGCACAATTCACAAAAACGATATCGTAAAAACTTAGCTTTGAACATTGTACAATATCGTAGCGAAATATTGTACTATATAAAAATGGACCCCTTTTATAACGTATATTCAATATTGCAAAACAATATTGTTCGATATTGTGAAAACGTTGGGGAACGTCGATCGACATCTCTCTGCATTTACAAACGTTGTACTATGTCAACCGACATCGTCAACACGATATTCAAAAAACGAATGCTGTGGAATGCCGACAATCGCCAAAATTACGTTATTTGAGAAAGTAAAAATTAGCTTTTGAAAATATTCATGCCTGTTTGTAACCTGGAAAAAGCTGATAACAAAACCATTCTAGCTTGTTTAAAATTAAATTATTTGACATTACCAAAACTTATAGAATTTTAAAGTCTGCAGCTTAGTTATTAATATTTAATAAGTTTGGGTAGGCAGGTATATTTTACTAATATTCTAGAAAATAAGCTAGAAAGTAAATAGTTTTGTTAAGATATTTCTTCTCTTTTTCAGGGTACAAGCAGCCATTTATACTGAGAAATAATTTTAATATTTTAAGTGATTTGTGCAATAATTTTCACAGCATCTATATTTTACTATGTAGATTAAAATTACAATATGTTTAATTTAAAACGATAAACTTTTTTGCTGTGACGTTTTAGTACTATATAATCTGTATTTTACTTAAATAGTATGCATGGAAAACAAAATTCCTTATCTTCAAAGCATCAGGTTTGATTTTAAGAAAACTGATTAAAAAGAAGAAAAAAAGCAACATTTACACTGATATTGTCATAATAAAATAACAGGAGTCACTTCCTCAGATTTCTGATATAAAAAAGGGTAAGCATGGCAGAATAAGCTGCGATTTAATTTACTTATAGCCTTTGTCCATTAAAGTGTTGCCAAAATATCTATTCAGTTATCTTATTATCTATTCTCTACGGTTGTCAAATCTGTAAATGAAATATAGTTTTTATTAAACAGTAAAGAATAATATACTAATTTCTATAATTTATTATATTCTTTAATACAATCAATTGTTTCTAAAACAAAACTGTCAGTTGAGACAAACTTAGTCTTCCTGCCTTCCCGGTCGTTGGCGGTGGCAAGAACTTCACCAAATTTTTCAGCTTTTTCTAGTCAGCTAGTTTCTTCAAACAGTCTGAAGGTAGCAGCTGAAAAAAAAATAAGACATGACATGAACTGGGGTTAATTTTAATATTTTTAAATTAAAAGACAAATAGTTATATTGAAAACATTACATGAACTAAAGTGGACATAAGCATAACGCAAGTACTACTAGCAGCGTTTATGCTAATCCCTAGGTTGACAATTCTTTTGTATAGAATCAGAGCAGTTTTTATGTTTTCAGTAAGTTTATAACATATGGAATATGAGTAAGTTTACAGTAAGAACCTTACGACCCTTTACGAGTAAGTTTATAACATATGGAAAATATTATATTTTATAATATAATAGATGGAAAAAAGTTTTTCTTTGAATAATTTTTAAAAATTATTTGGTCACCTTTCGATGAGGTGATCCGGGTTCCAATCCCAGTATCGGCAGGGATTGGAACCCGGCTGGGTCAATACGAATTCCACATCTAACATGTGCTTACCACAGTGCTGATTCAGATATAGTGAAGTATTTTGTAAAGGTACCGCTAAGTGGTAATAAATTTGGCTTGGACACAGATCCCTGTTCTTTAACTATTAAAACAAAGTTTCAATTAGCAAACCATAATTTTATTTAAAAAGTGAGATTTTTTTCTCTTGATTTTTAATATGATAGATTCATCAATAAATAAATAAATATTTAATCATTTTTATATTAAAATATTCATTTTTAATCTTATATCAAAATAGATAAGTTAAGCTAAAAAAATTTTTTTTTAAAAATATGTACTCATTGGAATTTTTTTTCACAAAATTTCTTTATAGAAAATCTGATAATGTCAAAGATACTATAAACATATTATGAGGAAAAAAATACCAGTTAATAACTCTACTGCTTCAAATAGACTTTAAAAGGGAAGAATGACACTATATCAGGAAAAAACATCTGAATTCATCAGCCCCCTTTTTTTCCCTTCTAATATAACCTCAAGCTTTAGAAATAGACATTTTCCACCAATAAAATATAATGTAAATTTTAATTCCATGCTTTTTCAATCAAAAGGTAGAATTTTAATTTACATTTGCATTTTTTTTTAAAAAAATTCATGTTTATTAATTACTTTCTACAGCTATGCAAGTCTATATTAAGACAGCATTAAATGTGTACTTTAATCTGTACACATTTAATGCTATCCAATCAATCTCAAGAATCAAAAAGATTTTTAAAAATGTAATTTCAAATGTGTTGGAATTTAACATACACCAAGAAAGAAAGTAATTTCAATAACTAAAATTAATTAATGCAGCAATTTATTTAAAATAAATTTTAAAACTAAGAAAAGAAAACAATAAAAGTATCAATAATTTAAAACACTGTTTTTTAACTTTCAAAATCAATGATTTAAAAAAAAATCATTTGATTTAAATCATGTATTAAATCATGATTTGAATCAAGCTGATTTAAATCAACAAACCCTGATAGCTAGTAGTTGAGAAAAGACGCCATGAAAAACATTACAAAACTTTAAGAGTGGCTAACCTTTGAAACATACAATGCTGTAAAATGTAAAAGTATTAGAGTTTAGAATACAAACTAAACAAAATAAAACAGGAAGGACCAGGGTAATTAATTTAAGGAATAACTGATCCATTTTAGTGCAAGATAATGACTCATGAAAAAGTAAAGTCTTATTACAAATTTTAAAATTCTATGTCTATAAAATTACCCAAGATGGCGTTTGTAACAGCTGAGAGGCTTTCAAAACACTGTTTCCCTTTTCATTCTAATTTACAATACGTCATCGCCAATTCCAAGATGGTGCTGAAGTAAAAGAGCATAGATAGCCTTTACAGATGGGTTCAAAATAACATATCTGAAAGAAGAAAAAAAATATATACATATATAATGTTTTAATAACCATTACAAAATGTATCTCATATTTTATCATCAATTAAGACCATAAAAATAAAATGGGCATGGGATTGCTGAAGGAAGGAATTATCTAAATTTTTCATTTTTATAATATATTATTACTTATTTCAGTCACTTTATTCTCGAAAAGAGTTCTTGCATTAGTCTTTACTTTGTATATGAGAAGATTCCAAAGCAATGGCCTTCGCATAAATATATTAAACATTGCAATATCAGATTGTATGTTAACGAATCAAATTATCAAGAATTCTATGTATAAATTGTGTGCAGAGAAATACCCATACCATCAAAACACTTATCACAGTCACATTTGACTTAAGAATCACATAAGTTAAAATATGTTGCAAAGTTGGGACATATTCAGCTATGGATTGCTTTTCATTTTGATAGGGTATTGTGCAGGGTATATTTTAGATTTTCAAATCCCTGACTTTCCATCAATACCAAGAAGTTGTCATGACTTACCGAAGTTACTATTTTCTCCAACAAAATCACAACAATAAATTTAAAAAAGCAATATAATAACATTAATTGAAATGATAGGTATAACCAAAGCTGTTATACTCTGAATCCTTGAGGCAGAATTTTTTCGAGCTATCTGCGACAAAACTCTCTAGCACTAATATCTTTCTGCAAGATTCCTTTCATAATAATAAACATGTATGCTGGTAATTTAAAATAACAAAGGCGCTGTGTTTAAAAAAAAAAAAAACTATATATAACTTTTTTTTAAATTGAATGTGTAAGTTTTATTATAACATTACATGTAACATTTTCGCATTTTGTTGGAAGGCCAGGGGACACAGATATTATTTCTTTCACCTTTTGTAACTAATCATCACAATAAAAAAAATTGCAAATCATTAAATATGCAGTAGTACTTGGCAAAAAAAAAAAAGATTGACAACAAATTCACACGAATTGGTCGCCTCAAATGAGTGCTTCGTTTCTAGATTAGGCTGTTGTATAAAAAATAACAGACTTAAAAACTATGGAGAAATCAGCAGCAATAACTGATAAAATTCAACACAATTATTGACTTAGAAAGTAAATACAAATACAAGATTCCAATTTTTCAGGTTGTTTATCGGGATATTTAAAATAAACGTGAAAATCAACATCAATAACTGACGAAAATACAACAGAAAAAATACATCAATTTACGCTACTATCGCCGTATATTGAGCATGTCAAAAAGTTATTATTTAAAGGCATGATTAAAATATGACTGGTAAATTTCTGTCAAAAAATAAATAAAGGTAATTTTCGTCATATTTCAAGTCTTTTAGATATTTTTTTAGTCCGAGAGGAGCAGACAAATTGTTATAGCGCACAGAACCAATAAAAGTAAACAAGATCTTTGGGAATATCAGAATTGAATAATGTGATATAATTTAATAGTTAACAAACTTGGACTAAAAAAAAAAAGAGGAAATTGGCGTAATTCTAGCAAATATAACAACACATATCAAAACCCCGTCCGAAATTATTCATTACTTGATTAATGAGCTATTCGGTTCGGTAAGTAAGATGTAGACATATAAAATTTTCATGATTCAATTCTTATTTTTGTAATTTAAACATTATATATATAGATATATATAGCTGCAAACTTGTATGGGTGAGAAAAAAACTTCTTACTAGCAGCAATATTAGAGATCTTATTAAATCTTCAGTAGACATATTAAATCAATCTAGTAGACATACTAAATCTTCAATTTAAAATTTCGAAAAAAAAAAACATTTCAATCTACCATGACAAATTAATAATTAAAAAATACGCAAATATGATCTATTTGTTAGCTCGCTCAGCTCTTAAATTTTTAATTAGTTTAAGTATTAAAAAATATTTTTCATCGAACGTACAAGTTGCAGGTGTGAAAAAATATAAACATAAGCATGTCAGAAGGCTTAACACCTCCAAACATACCTACTATAAAATTTCGCCACTGTTTGTGAATATGAGAATTAAATAATGTGATATAATTAAATAGTTAAGCAGCCTGGACATGAAAAAGGAGGAAATCAATGTAATTCTTGCAATATATATAGTTATATATATTAAGAAACAGAACATACCTGCCCAGATCAGAGAATTCGCTCACTTCAACAAGGTGCATTAATTCTCCGTCATCTTCAGCTGGTATGAGTTTTCGGGCTCGCTAAATCGAAATCATTTCAATTCACTTACATTATGCGCTAAGATATAAATCTTATGAGACGAAATTAGATTTAAATATAAGAAGACAAAACACAAAAGATAAAGCGGATGGTGTAGTAAAGGTGTAGCGGAAAATGATAAACAGCATCTTAACGGGTTACGGTTACGATTCCGAGTGGTGAATATCATAGATTTCAGTATTTAGTGAAAACGATCGATGCCGTGACAAAAACACGATTACAATATTGATATCAAATATTGTCCGGTTGTTATTCAGATATCTCTAAATTTATATTTTAAATTTATTTTTTGGAATTATAACAATTTGACGTCATTTTTTGTCTTTTAAATGATTAATTTTGATTTATAAACACAATAAAGTTTTAAATGAAAATTTTACAAACAGATTTTTAATGTGAAATCGACGGGAATCGTACAATATCGTACACACAATTTCGGTTTTCGCCAATATTGACAATGTCGGTCGATGTAGACCAAAGCTGTTACAATATCCCTGTGCTACTTGGGTTTATTACATTTAAAAAAATTTTGTTGTATAGTTTCTACCATTTTTGGTGAAGTAAACTAAATACATTTTTATGTACAGAACTGTAATTATCATGCCTTGAATTATATAAATTGATAGAATAGCAATTGTTTGAAATAATTTGTGCTAATATATTGCTATAAATGTGCTTGTTTTTTAAAAGAAATATTTTTTCAATGAAGTCATATTGTGACTTTATTGCAAAAATATATATTGATTCTAATGCGCATGAAATATGTGTTTTAAGTTAACAACAAAAAAGGAATAAATAGAATGAAAAAAACTATAGCAGTGAAAAAGTAAATAAAAATTTTGTAGTTTGGCTCAACAACAAAAATAATTGTAACTATATATCGTATTTTTTAGAATGTAGTGTATGTATGTACCAATCAATGTTTTCAAAAGCTATTAAGCGTATTATTATTATTATTATTTTTTTGCTTACAAATTGGTAACTTTTGTTAAAATTAAATGAGAATTGAATGTTTTAAACAAACAAATAATACTTATTTAATTTATTTTGTGATTCAAGTAAATCCAGTTAATATATGATATCTGAGAGCGTGTTTAATGAAACATTTTTTTCTACTTATTTAATTACATAATTGAAAATTAATGATTTTTTTAATTGAAAATACATTTTATTGAATGATGTATTAAGACAGCATAACATAACATGTCTATAAAACTCTTTTTAATTTAACCTGTTAACAGGGGAATAATGCTCTGTTCAGCTTATTTCACTGCAATTTTTGCAACAAAAAGAAATGATAATTTATAAGAAATGCCATCGTACCTTAATACCTGAAGTAATCATAATGACGATAAATTTGGTCATGACGATTGCAGTAGTAGTTCGTGTATGACGAAATATTTCGTCATACCCAGTTAACCCCTTCCTTCTCGCTCCCGTGAAAATGACAGGGTGAGGTTTCACCCTCTATCTCTCGTTCCCGTGAAATTTCCTTGCTGGAGTGTTCAATAGAAACGCGCCAATAAGAATTAAACTAATTTATTTTTTTTTTGCCCGGAAAACACTTTATTTCTCATTTTACACACCAGATGGCAGTACCAGGATATTTTTAAGGTAATTGTTAATAGTTAGTTTATTTTAAACTAGATGTCAGCACTAATCAAATACGTGTATTTGGCAAAATAGGCACTTTTATGACCGTTTTCTTGAAAATTAACCGATCATTAAGGGGTTAACAGGATAGGGATGTATTTTATTAATAATCTTATGCAATGGCAAAATATATGGTATTTATTTTCAGATATGGAGTTTTCTCGACTGTTTCTAGCATGCTGTGGCATTCTTGCTTTATCAATCCATTCGCACGCATTTAATGTAAAAAGACATGCGCGAATTGAAAGACAATCGAATGATGAAGAAGCGGCAAACTCTACACAATTGTCTTCGGAACCTGATGAAGAAATATCTTCCTCTACTTATCCACCTACAGAGCATCTTGCTGATGAAGTTGATCTTGACTTTGAGATGATTGTAGATGTTTTTGAAATTTATGATTTACTACCTTCTGGTCATTTCAACCCGATGAAATGATGAAAGTAAAGCATATAAAACTTTATCTAGATATTTTTTTAAGAAATATGACTATAATCTGAAATACGTTTCACATAGATGGATGGACACACACGGAAAAAAAAATCTAGTAAAGTTACCATACTGTACCGTACATTATAGCATTTCTGATAATAAAGAAAAGAAATTCATAATTCTGGTTTATAAAACCAAAGTATACGGAATTTATTTGGTAATTTTTCATTTAATATGGAAGCGATTAAGTGGAAATTATGGTTTTCAAAATTATGGTTTTTATTAACACACATTTTGTAAAAAATGCACAATTAAAAAGTAAATGTTCCTGAAAAAATGTTTTTCATGCCCTACTATAAGGTATTATGACAAAAGTACCACATTTTACTGCGTTTATCAAATTTTATCACGTATTATAAAACCATATTTTAAGGTTAGTTTTTCTAAAACCATTACCAAAGCACTTCTAGAAAAATTATCCAAATTTTTGGTGTTCCCATAGAGCCAGAAAGGCTGTAAATTTTACCATATTCTGGTAGTTTTAGACCATATTTTCTTTCTTAGTGTATATTAGAAGTATGTTAAAATTAGCTTTCAAACTTTGCACAACTTTCAAACTCCTAAAAACATTTCAGCTACAGCCAGTTGAGGGCCAGGCATATCATTGAATTAAAGGCTTCAAAATATCATGACCAGTAGTGGCATTGTCGTTAGAATTGCGCCTTGACCACTTTTATTTCCTTTTTAATTTTTACCCTAATTTCATAAGCACTTTTGTTTTCTTCGCAAAATATGAACAATGTCCATGTTAAAGTAAATACTTTTTCGACAAGAATTTTAACAAATATATATTAAGAGTAGTGATTATAAAACACCCAGTGTAGGCCTTACTTTTTTCAGAGATTATATTTTACGTAGTAAAAAAGGTAACATTTTAAGCAAACAATTCTATAAATAAACTAAAAAATCTGCTAAATTTTTAGAAAAAAGCTATCAGCTGATGTGCCAGTATAGAGCTGCTTATTTCACAGAAAAGTACTGTAACTTAAAAACGGACTCATATTCTTTAAACATATAATTGCAGTTATTTTAGCAAAAGGCCTTATTTTAACAAAAAAAAAAAAAAAAAAAAAAAAACCTTATGAAATAACTATGTCAACATTGTGGTCTGAGAGCAAAATTCGTTTCACCATTCAGAGCCGTTATATTGGNCCCCCCGGGGGGGGGGGGTGCTACTCGGTTTCATAAGCCACGGAATCTCTAGTGTTTGGTTATAAATTGTCTTTATATTAGAATTCTTATTTACTGAAATCATATTTAAATGAAAGGACGTTCAAAACTGTATTGCCCCACCATCATAATGCGTTTGGCAATTTAACTTACATGAAAGTTGTACTCATAGACAGATGATAATCAGGTAGTGTATCAATCCTACAATAATTTCAAATCGCAACTTTATTTATATGATGTTTAAAACCATAAAATAATTTCTGGAAAGTAAGAGCAATCATAGAAAATAACTGTAAAATGATTTGAAAAAAAGATGAAGTTACTTTACGGTAAGCAAAACACTGTGATGCATAAATTAGAATTTGAATTTACACTTTTAATCCGTTTATGATTAGGATGAAAGGCAGAGAAAAACTGTATTAGGAAAAACAATTTTAAATCGTCAAATCTAATTAGAAAATCTGTGGGATAAAAATCGTGAGTTTTTTCTAGCGCGAGGGTAACGATTACGAATAGAAAAAAATCTGTATTTATCTTCAAACAGATTCCTTTCTGTAAAAAAAAAATTTTTTTTCTGGACTATTCTAGACTATAGAGAGAATAACTATTTACTTAAATAAAACTTACCAATTCTTCAAAATTCGAAAACTTCACTAACCTGGTTACATATATTACAATAATGATTTCGCAGTTTGTAGGAAAAAAAATCATATTTTTTTTTAAAAAACTCTTTCTTTTTTCAACGATATTGCTGAAATAATTACATCAGCATTTTTTTGACCGAAAAAAAGACAAATTAAAAAAGAAATATTGAGTATGAGTGAAGGATTTCATATCTCTTTTTGTTGGGTAACCTGGTTGTTCTTAAAATATAACTTTAAGAATATTCTTTCGGAAATACTGGTAAGATCTGTTTCTAACTTTCTCTCTGTGTTTACAATTTCAAAGTATTATTTTACAATAAAACGATGTTTTCTGATTTAAGAAAATTTAATTCGTTAAAATGGAAAACAGGTTTTTATTATATAAATTGTTAATTGCCAGAGATAAGAAAATTGAAAATTTCTAATTTTCTTGTGCGACTATACTAGTAGCAAACCTAACCTTAGAGCATTGTTTGTACTAGTTCGTTATGTAAATTTCCTCTGTTAAAGATGAATCTGATTATAGTGATTAATACGAATAGCATTCATTTCTATGTATGTTTCTCTCATGTGGTAGCATAAACTCGGGTATTTCTCTACCAATTGGCAACACTATAGTTGTTTATTTTGTTTGAATGCTTAAAATAATAATTTAAGTAGCGTTAAAGAATTAGTTAAACGTTAAGTATTTATTTAGATTCATTTTGCTAGGTTAAGTAATAAGTTAAGTAATATTGAATACGTTATGAATTAATTTTGAATAATCTTGTATTTTTGTAAAAATAAAAACTTAGCTACGAAGTAATTTTTTATTTTTATTTCGATCCTTTCTAAAATGGCCGTAGAAATTTTAAAAATAAACAGTACTATGGTATCGCATACTGTCGTACCAATTACTGCGGACGAAGCATGCTTTTTTAAAGCAGCAATATATATATATATATA